TACTTGTAGAGATTATCAAGGCCGTCCTGTGATTATGAGCGGTCTTCCTCGGTTTTTATATTGTTCATTAGCTTTGTGTCATCAAAAATCGACATATATGAGCTTACTCTCTCGGGTAAGTTATTTACATAAATTAGGAACATTATTGGTTAATCCTCTGACTGTTAGCCTTTGTCTGTTGTCCTCCAGGTGTTCCTTTGCCCAGTTGAGTGTCTTCCCAGTCATCGCAGCTAGTTTCACTATCTTGTACACCAGCTATACGTTAGGAACTGTATCGAGTGCTTTTTAACACTTGAGAAAGATTCAGTCTATCAAACCTTCTTTTGACTTTCGAATTCTGGTGACCTTGTCATAGAACTCGATCCAGTTTGTCAGGCGTGACTTTCCACTCGTAAATCGACGCTGCTCTCCCGTTCACAGCTTATCATCTGTTGGTGTTCCATTATCCTCTTCCTGATTACCTTCTCCAACACTTTACACGGAATTCTTCCCAGCGACACGGGTCTGTAAATTATTGCCTCCTGTTTATTCTCTCTGTTGAATATTGGGACTATATTGGGGGAGGGGTGAGAGGGGAGGGGGATGAAGAAGAGGAGGAGGAGAAACAGAATGTGGCAGGAGGAGGAGGAGAAGGAGAAACAGAATGTGGCAAGAGGAGGAGGAGAAGGAGAAGTAGGAGGAGAGGGAGTATGAGGAACAAGTTAGCGGATATGCTCTATGAATGTATTCACATCTATTTGTTTACACGGTCGAGACCAGGTTCCCGAGCCCTGTTTTTTTAATTGTCATTCCTTTAATATAATCACGGAGCTGAGGACGGCGACCCGTAACTGGGCCGCTGCCACGGTTAAGGCCACAAATGAGCGCTTATAATATATATATATATATATATATATATATATATATATATATATATATATATATATATATATATATATATTTATTTATATATATATATATATATATATTTATATATATATATATATATATATATATATATATATATATATATATATATATATATATATATATATATATATATTATTTATATATATATATATATTTATATATATATATTTATTTATTTATTTATATATATATATATATATATTTATTTTATTAAATATGACCGAAAAAGTAAGATTAATAATTCTAACACGAATTTTCTCAATCTTTCGTACATTACGCTTCACTGTTGGAGGTAAATCAAAAATCACTTCTCCAAAATTCATTTTTATTTCTAGTCTGACGCGACACGGGCGCGTTTCGTAAAACTTATTACATTTTCAAAGACTTCACAAATACACAACTGATTAGAACTTGCGTTTCCCTGATTTTATATCTACATTTGAGTGAGGTGGGAAGGGTGATGTGGCATTACATTTGAGTGAGGTGGGAAGGGTGATGTGGCATTAACACAAGACAGAACACTAGGGGATATTAATAGGGTATTAAAAGTATCAACACAAGACAGAACAGAAACAATGGGTATTGAATAGAAGTGTTTGTAGAAAGCCTATTGGTCCATATTTCTTGATGCTTCTATATTGGAGCGGAGTCTTGAGGTGGGTAGAATATAGTTGTGCAATAATTGGCTGTTGATTGTTGGTGTTGACTTCTTGATGTGTAGTGCCTCGCAAACGTCAAGCCGCCTGCTATCGCTGTATCTATCGATGATTTCTGTGTTGTTTACTAGGATTTCTCTGGCGATGGTTTGGTTATGGGAAGAGATTATATGTTCCTTAATGGAGCCCTGTTGTTTATGCATCGTTAAACGCCGAGAAAGAGATGTTGTTGTCTTGCCTATATACTGGGTTTTTTGGAGCTTACAGTCCCCAAGTGGGCATTTGAAGGCATAGACGACGTTAGTCTCTTTTAAAGCGTTCTGTTTTGTGTCTGGAGAGTTTCTCATGAGTAGGCTGGCCGTTTTTCTGGTTTTATAGTAAATCGTCAGTTGTATCCTCTGATTTTTGTCTGTAGGGATAACGTTTCTATTAACAATATCTTTCAGGACCCTTTCCTCTGTTTTATGAGCTGTGGAAAAGAAGTTCCTGTAAAATAGTCTAATAGGGGGTATAGGTGTTGTGTTAGTTGTCTCTTCGGAGGTTGCATGGCATTTCACTTTCCTTCTTATGATGTCTTCGATGAAACCATTGGAGAAGCCGTTATTGACTAGGACCTGCCTTACCCTACAGAGTTCTTCGTCGACTTGCTTCCATTCTGAGCTGTGGCTGAGAGCACGGTCGACGTATGCGTTAACAACACTCCTCTTGTACCTGTCAGGGCAATCGCTGTTGGCATTTAGGCACATTCCTATGTTTGTTTCCTTTGTGTAGACTGCAGTGTGGAAACCTCCGCCCTTTTCCATGACTGTTACATCTAGAAAAGGCAGCTTCCCATCCTTTTCCGTCTCGTAAGTGAAACGCAGCACGGAACTCTGCTCAAATGCCTCCTTCAGCTCCTGCAGATGTCTGACATCAGGTACCTGTGTAAAAATGTCGTCAACATACCTGCAGTATATGGCCGGTTTCAAGTTCATGTCGACTAAGACTTTTTGCTCGATGGTACCCATGTAGAAGTTTGCAAACAGGACACCTAGGGGAGAACCCATGGCGACCCCATCTACTTGCTTATACATGTGCCCATCCGGGCTCAAGAAGGGTGCCTCTTTAGTACAAGCTTGGAGTAGTTTCCTCAGAATACTTTCTGGCATGTCAAGAGGAGTACAGGCTGGATTTATTTATTTATATATATATATATATTTATTTATTTATATATATATATATATATAATATATATATTTATTTATATATATATATATATTTATTTATATATATATATATATATATATATATATATATATATATATATATATATATATATATATATTTATTTATATATATATAAGCTTGGTATATTTATATATATTGTATGTATATACGCCTACCAAGCTTGGTCAAAAGAAGGTTCTGATTTTATACACACACCGCTATTGCAGTATATATATATATATATATATATATATATATATATATATATATATATATATATATATATATATATATCTGTTGCATTTTTAATTGTTTTCTGAAAACTCGCACCATAATTTATTAATTCATTGTTTCTGGGCCGTAGTCATATATGTTTATGATAACCAAACAAAAAGTTTGAAGAAAATATGACCGATACTTTAAAGCAATTGGTAAATTAGCACATGTATACTCTTTAAAATGTGTTTTTTAAGTTGGATGATCACGAGAGAAATAGCAGAATTGGCGTTACCACTTAATTTAGCAATGATTTTCTACGGTAAAAATAAATTGGACGAGGCTTTGGACAGATAAGTGAATAATCCCCCAGGCAAGAGAGAGAGAGAGAGAGGATGCTGCCTGTTTAAGAGTGATCTGTAACACTGCCTGCCATCTGTCTGGGTCGTGCTAGGATGCATGAAGGAGACAACAGTGGTGTGTAGCGAGTACACTAACACTGATACAGTTCTTGATGCCAGACATTCATCCCCTGTATGTATGTACAGTGTTGTGTGGTCATTCTGTGTTGTGTGGTTGGAATATACTAGTGTGAAAAATGTATAATGTCAGTGCTGATATGATATCCATTTATTTTATATATTTATACTAATGAATATCCATATTCATTAGTAACTGAATGACTGCTAATTATTATTGTGGTTCCATTCATGTTGTGCATATTACTGGCACAGAGTTACTAAATTTATATATTAAGTTTGTAACATAAATATTCCTGTGTGTTAAGCAGTACAAACTAAGCAGGGGACGTTGTGTATCTAATTCATTATTTATTGAGGAAGCACATGTTGCTGTTGGTCTGCTAAGGCTCTTGTCACAACTATGAGTGTACATTCCTATCCCTGCCCCGTGACCATGGTTTTGTGATGTAAAATATTTAAATTACTTCCTCAACTAGCCTAGCAATAAGCATAAATTTACTTAGATTAGCCTGGCCCAATTTTCTTTATTAAATAATATACAATATGAAGATCATATTTACATCAATTTACTTTTAAGTAATACTAAAAAACCATTTCTTCACTATTACATGTGTCATTGAGAGTAAACACATCTCTCTTAGCTGTACATTGCTCTTCAGCCTCCTGGTGTGTGATAGTTCACATGCATATTATTTATACCAGTCACTTCTGTGTTGATGGCCAGCTGATGTAGCCGGCAGCTGCAGCATTAAGAGATTGGTAAATTCAATTAGTTGTATATTGTGTGATGGTCAATTGGAGGAATTCCTGTTTCTTTGAACAGATTGTAGCTCAGAACTAACTGCACTATAAAACTGTGTCCCTTAGTTTTAAATTGAAATTTTGCCCCGAAAGGTGAGTTTCTTAGGCAGCGTCAACAAACCGCTATTGTAGCATGTACTTCGTCGAGTGTGTGTATGTTGTGTCTTTGTTGTTTCTTCTCGACAGTCTTGTGAGACCCAGTCCTATCAGCCTACGATCGAGTTCTGTTTCTTATTTTGACTTTCTTCTAACACTATATTTCTAAAGTGAGGCTTCCAAGTTGAGGCTAACATAAAAAGTATATATATATATTCTCAAGAAGGTTCTATAGAACATTTTGAAGGCAGTAGAATGTTCGATGGCCACTTTTGTTTGTATGACAACACAATAGCCCTGGTTGTATGTACAGAGGAACGGGTCACAACGTTCCAAGTATGTGTGTGTGGTACGGTGCCCAGGTGGAACCTGCCCTGAACACGAGGCACTGCAGGGGTGTTGACCAGCGTGGCTGACCTCACGTAAAAGGCCTCATATATGGGGAGTGTGTTGACCCATCAGATCGTAAGGTGGCAGACTGGGTGTTACAGAGGACGTTGCAACAGACCGCTTCCATCGTCGTCCTTGACGATCTTCGTAATAGCTTCTTTTTTTTAGGGTGTGTGTGTGTACCTAACATAAACACACAGGTGTCCCTGGGGTGTACAGACCAACACGTGTGTAGTAAGCGGTCATGACAACAAGTCAGTGTCATCGTCCAAATAGAGCACAAGTGATATACTTCTACACACAAACTGCTACGACAAAACTGTTGTTCAAACCCTTCATAACTGCTATGAACAAAATATAAACTTGAAATCTTGAGCCAGACTTGTACGAGAGTGTATACTCAGTGACGGTGTAGGTCACAAGACACTCATCCTTATAGTGTGGGTGTGAGTGGCGGGCGTTGTAGTACGTAGTGGACCTTCCGACCTTCACAGTGAACCCTCCGACCTCACAGTGCAGCACAGTGAACCCTCCGACCTCACAGTGCAGCACAGTGAACCCTCCGACCTCACAGTGCAGCACAGTGAACCCTCCGACCTCACAGTGCAGCACAGTGAACCCTCCGACCTCACAGTGCAGCACAGTGAACCCTCCGACCTCACAGTGCAGCACAGTGAACCCTCCGACCTCACAGTGCAGCACAGTGAACCCTCCGACCTCACAGTGCAGCACAGTGAACCCTCCGACCTTCACAGTGAACCCTCCGACCTTCACAGTGAACCCTCCGACCTCACAGTGCAGCACAGTGAACCCTCCGACCTCACAGTGCAGCACAGTGAACCCTCCGACCTCACAGTGCAGCACAGTGAACCCTCCGACCTTCACAGTGAACCCTCCGACCTTCACAGTGAACCCTCCGACCTCACAGTGCAGCACAGTGAACCCTCCGACCTCACAGTGCAGCACAGTGAACCCTCCGACCTCACAGTGCAGCACAGTGAACCATCCGACCTCACAGTGCAGCACAGTGAACCCTCCGACCTCACAGTGCAGCACAGTGAACCCTCCGACCTCACAGTGAACCCTTCGACCTCACAGTGAACCCTCCGACCTCACAGTTCAGTTATGTTTACTGAAAGTCCCGCTGCACGGGCTGACAGTGTTAGGCTGCAGGCAAATAATAATATTGTCTAACATGTTTATGAACAGAGTATCACACCCTAGGCTCCGAGGCCTCTCAGGGGTAACTATAAGGGGTTCCGAAAGAGAGTGATAAATAGACTAACTCTAATCATGTGTAAATGTACTTCCGAGTCTATTTTTTGTGCCTAACGTTGTTCATTTAACCAGCATCAAGAGTAAGGAATCCTGGGTATTTGGTCTGAGACTCTCGTGGTCTTCTTTTTATTTGAATCACTTGATGTAAAAAGACTATTGATATGTAAAAGTATTTGTGTAAGAGAAAACGAAAATTGTGTAATTAGCTTCACAATTTTTTTTTTTTTTTTTTTGCTAACTAAATGAATTGTTGCGTTCAGTTCCTGGACCCATTATATGCCTCTGTAACGTTCTCCAACACAACCCACGGGATGGGTATTGGGTGCATAATAAGTGACTAAGTTAACTAACTTAGTTGACAATGTATCCGTGTGTGTGTTTATCTAATGTACGACCCGGAATTATTTCGAGGGTACAAAGGTTGAGAAACGCTGGAACCATAACCAGGCCTCTCTAAACATACCTGGCCTAGCCTAATTTAACTTGCCTTACCTAATTTACCATACTTAACCTAACCTGTCTTGCTTAACCTAGCTAACCTAACGTGTTCTACTTTACCTAACCTGTCTGTCTAACTTAACCTAACCTGTCTAACTTAACCTACCTAACCAAACTTTACCTTATACTACGTATTGTTTATATCGTGATAATAAGTGTTGACTATTTTCACCGTACAGAGCAAGATAAAGCAGATAGTTATGCAAGTAGTTGATTGTGCTGAGTAATGAATATATTATCAGTCTATAATTTGACTTCGTACCTTCCTGGTCTGTTGCTCTCACCACGATACGATGGCCCTTGAAATACTCTTCAATTTGCTGGAATTCGATAGAGGGTATTTACCACCATTCTGACCGATGTGATATCTTGAGAGAGAGAGAGAAACAATTTTTATTTTTTTACATTTAAAAATTAATTGACCAGTCTGGTTCAGACCTCGTACAACGGGTTTTGGCCAATGGATATTTATTAAGAATTAAGGTCAGATCTACAGTTTTTATTCTACAGATTACTAAAATCACTAGTCGGCTATGCATGTGAAGTTGTACAGTTGTCGACCAGAAGGTGTTGATGCACCCAAACACACACTCATTATATATATATATATATATATATATATATATATATATATATATATATATATATATATATATATATATATATATATATATATAATCCCTGCTACTGATTGGTTGTAGTTAGCTTGTGTGTGTGTGTGTGTGTGTGTGTGTGAGAGAGAGAGAGAGAGAGAGAGAGAGAGAGAGAGAGTAGTGTGCTTTCTACGAACCTTACCCCCCCCCCCCCCTTTTCCCCGACCAGCCTTAATTTTTATATTGTATTACTAAATAAAGATTTTTTTTTACCTCAGTGGGCGAGTTTATTTTGGCAGCGTCACTCACCCTGCTGTGAGTGGACACACCGCCATAGCAACATGTGCAACACCCGCCCCCCCCCCCTCTCCCTCCCCAATTGCATGTTGTTGTTTAAGATTCGCTACTTGGAGCAAAAAGTTCCAAGTAGCACGGGCTATGGTGAGCCCGTAGACGGTGTTATCCCCAATTGGAGGTACTCCCGCTAGATTATTCTTCTTGGTACTTGTTCCTAGACACAGATGGGTTGCTCATCCTGTTACTCGCATCCAGACGCAGCTGGGTTGTCCATCCTGTCAACTGTACGCAGACTTACAATAATATTTGGCAGCAGACAGGACCCACTCTGCGGTTCACGGGGTCCGCGGAGGCACGCTGGAACGCCAGACGCCACCGCAGACCAGATAAGCAGTTTTATATTATAGAGGACACTTGTTATATCGTCCAAGACAAAAAATAAATATAAAAGTGCTGTTGTCCTTGGAACAGCTGCGGATATCTGTCGTCCACTCCATTGACAAGCATCTGGAGAATAAAAGATAGAGCAATATTATTGTCATTCTTAGAATACAACATCTATTCGGAGAGTTAAACTACAAAATATAGATTTAAAGTCAATTCATCATGTATGTTGTATACTCATACGACAGGCAGCAAAGTGAACGCCTGCAGCTGTCTATAGTCTGGCGGAAACTCTCGTACAGCTTTGGAGGTCGCGGCTGTGTTGAGGAAGATGACAGATTTCCTAGTTCATTTTTGTGCTGAGATTACAAGTTGTCCCCTTGTGTTATCCTTGTGTGTGTGTGTGCCAGGCGCGGCCACGTCCTCCTGGCTCTTATCCTTCCAGAGAGAAATATGAAGAAACGGAAACAGAAGAGAAATTATCATGTTTTTTTTTCTATACCTGAATGTGTAGCCTATCTACCTCCCCCCCCCTCGTTGTATTTTTTTGTCCTCCATGTCCACTCCTCTCTCCCTCTCCATATTCTCGCTCCTCATGTACTCTTTCTGTCCCTCCCTCAAAAGGTCTCACTGCCCAACTATCTCACCTACTCCTTATCACACCTCCTTTACCTTTCCTTCCTCTCCCCTTACCCCCCTCCCCTCCCTTTCCCTGTCACAGCATCCTATCTCCCCATCTCCCACGTCCCCGAAATTTAAATATTCTTTTCTTTACTCTTCTACCATTTCTCATCCTATCTTATGATTTTCATCCCCTCTCTCACTAGGCCTCCTTCCCTCCTTTTCTCTCAATTATCACTGTCCTCCAATCTCTTTCTCTTTGTTGGTGTACAGTTGTATGCAGGAGTGGACGACTTGTGACTGTTAGCAGGCTGAGAGCCTTCCCTTCCATAGCTCATTACCCTACTAGGTTTCCCTAGAACACCACCCATCCAATCTGCTTACAACCAGGTTCTCCTGTTTAGATAGTTCAGAATTCTTACGTACTTAGCTTTTAAATAGTTGTAAACTGACTAGTGAGGAATTCTTTTAGAATGAATGAAGCTAAAACACAAACTTAAATATCCCTAGGCCTAGTATAGTCCACATGTGTACTATATTAGGCCTCAGATATCGTGAATTAGACCTAGGGAGGTTAGGTTAGTTTAGTTTGTCAAAGCAACACAAGTAAAAAGAAATTTTCCGGTTTGTCCAACTCAATAGTTCAGATTTGTACTTTCTAATTTCGTTGTACGTCGGTATATGTACTATGGTCCTCATCGTTACTGTAAGTACTGCCACAACAGGAGGATGGGCTGCAACTAGGTCTTCAATTTCTGCTGGGTGTATATGGGGTGAACAATTGAGGCAATGTGACCAGTCGTTCCTGTCTGCCTTGGGCTCGAACCTGGAGTGGAGTGGTCGACATCTTTCCTAACCTCATCGCAAGAAACACACTCATGTAAGTGATGGAGAAATATTGTGAGCTATAAATAACTATGCAAAAGTTGTTAGTTTGCCGAAGTTGTTAGCATGTTATTTAGCGAAATCCAGCAAACAGAAATACAATAATAACCGTTGGCTCCTGTTTCGCTCATTGTAAGACTAGAAGAAAAATCTTCCTTTGCTTTATGGAAAATTAAGAAAAAAAAACTTTGCTTTAATCTTCCAATCAATCCTAATGATTGATTGTGTTTATTGTTAAGCGGTAGCGTAAACAAGCATTACAGAGGGCACCAAAGGTCTTTTATCAGACCTCAACGGAGATTATTACATTAACAATTACATGTGTCCTTCACACTTTATAATGATAATGTCAGTTACAGAGAATGTTCCATTTCAGTAGCTATGTATTTACTAGTCCAACGCGAGCCTCGGTATTACCAACTGACAATGTAACCCCACGACCCCCTCCGAGGTGAGTGCTGGAGGCCTTGGTGTGAGTGGCGGTGGATTGTGTGTGTGGGTGTGTGTGTGTGTGTGTGTGTGTGTGTGTGTGTGTGGAAGGGAGGGTTGTAATGACAGGTAAACAAGTGGGAAATGTAGAAAGCGACGCCATGTGAAGGTCACAGTAGCACCGTACTAGTTAACGAGGTTCGCCTCTGCTCATGCTCGAAATGGCACCACCGCGCGTGGTTGCCGGTCGGCACCAGCCTGCATAATGCTGTTATTATTATTTCAGCTCGACAACGGGTATGATTATATATATATATATATATATATATATATATATATATATATATATATATATATATATATATATATATATATATATATATATATATATTATATATAATGTCATACCTAGTAGCCAGAACGCACTTCTCGGCCTACTATGCAAGGCCCGATTTGCCTAATAAGCCAAGTTTTTCTGAATTACTATATTTTCTCTAATTTTTTTCTTATGAAATGATAAAGCTACCCATTTCATTATGTATGAGGTCAATTTTTTTTATTGGAGTTAAAATTAGCGTAGATATATGACCGAACCTAACCAACCCTACCTAACCTAACCTAACCTATCTTTATAGGTTAGGTTAGGTAGCCGAAAAAGTTAGGTTAGGTTAGGTAGGTTAGGTAGACAAAAAACAATTATTTCATAAAAACTTGGCTTATTAGGCAAATCGGGCCTTGCATAGTAGGCTGAGAAGTGCGTTCTGGCTACTAGGTACGACATATATATAAATACACACTTTCTAAGCCAACACATCAAGGGACCAACAATTATGAGAGAAGATGAACCAGCCATGCTTGATCTGATATTTACCCTAAATGTTGACCAGACCACACACTAGAAGGTGAAGGGGACGACGACGTTTCGGTCCGTCCTGGACCATTCTCAATCGACTTGAGAATGGTCCAGGACGGACCGAAACCTCGTCGTCCCTTCACCTTCTAGTGTGTGGTCTGGTCAACATACTTTAGCCACGTTATTGTGACTCATCGCCTGTTTACCCTAAATGAGTGGGATATAAGGGAAGTTAAGATGGAAGCACGTTTGGGAATGAGTGA